AGATGAACCCCTCGAGATATGATCTCATGGATGCAGTCCAGTCTGTCACATCCACTTTGGAGTCACTCCAGTGAATTTGTCAGGCTGGATCATCTTGGGGTACCTAGGCTCAACAACACCCTGTCCAGGAGTCACAGATGTTCCTGCCCCAAGATTCAGAGGCACCACTTTCTTTGAAGACGTTGTCGTTTTGTCCTTGGGGCTGCTATGTTTGGATAATGCAGCAAAAGATGATGACGGTTTGGAATGGGATGGAGAAGGTGAAGATGGAGGAGTAGGCACGGGGATCTTGTTGACAGCGTCAGAGAGGGAGGACAACTGACCTTCAATGACAAATATCATGTCTTCCACAGTGGTCATTTTGTCCACCCAGGAAGTGTAGGCATCTCGCATGCCAGTCACTTCCAACCTGATCCACTCAGCAAGGAGATGTCTGCTTTCAGGAAGTAATCACCAAGGGTTTCCCGTTTGTTTACTTCCTTGGTCTTTCTCTCTGCCTCTTCCTTCTCCTTCTGCAGCTTCTCCACTTGCGCCTTGGCCGCTTCTGCAGCCTTCAGCGCAGCTTCCAAGGCTAACTCCACATCGGTTTTGGGAATGAGAGGGCCTTTCCCCTTTTTCACATGTGTATCCATTGGAGGTGGCGGTGGAGGGGGTGCCCCTTCATCCTTCCCAGAACCGCCTGAGCCATCCTTGGCCCCCATCCCCATCAGCTTCTTTCAAAACGATAAAATAACGGAATAAAACACGCATATTAATGTTCACACACAGAACACAAATTAATCAGAGAAAGTATGCTGTTTGTACACAGAGAAGCAAAAAGGTTAGAGGAAATAGTAATACACAGGCCGGGCAACACTCGTGTCTGCAGATACAGGTTAGTAGCAGAAGCTCACTGTGAATCCCTGTTCCCGTACCCAAACCATTCAGCAAATCTTCACAACCCCGGTATACGGCACTGTTAGCAGCAAGAGATAAGTGCAGATTCAAAAACCGCAGAGAAATCAGATGGGGGAATTATTATTATTATCTTTTTTTAACATTCACAGACATTGCAGATTTGCAGACTACTGGCTACTTGATCTGACGCAGCTGACTGACAAGAGATAAGTGCAGATTCAAAAACCGCAGAGAAATCAGATGCCGGAAATATTATTACTATTATTATTTTACATTCACAGACGTTGCAGATTTGCAGACTACTGGCTACTTGATCTGACGCGGCTGACTGACAAGAGACTGACAACAGGGACTGTTCTGACATGGGCAGACAGACCATTTGGACTGACTGTACAGACTGGACTGACGACGCAGTCTGCTGGTGCAGACTGAGACTGACAGGACTCACAAACAGATCCCGTATTTACCGTCTTTTGTAGGTCACATAGTATAAAATAGCAGGGTCAGATCAGACAGTCAAACTAACGGACTGACAAACGGTAGACTGACAAATCTAACTACCCTTTCATGAGCTGCCGCCAGACAGACAGGCAGACTGACGTACTGACAGACTGCCGAACTGACAGACTGCCGAACTGACGGACTGATGTCAGGGAAACAGGTCGCCGAAACAAACTCACGTGGTCAAAGTCTTGATTGGATTTATGCCGCCGGTCAACACAGACCGCAAACAGCAATGTGATGGCAGTGGCATCAGCACCTGGAAGACCTCCGACAGGTGCTGCCTCCTCAAGCAGCAGGGTGCCCCAGCTATGGCTGCCCAAGTTGCCCTTCCAAGAGGAAGAGTGAGCGCCGGAAATAGTGTCAGGTACTCCCGTCGCCACTTCCAAAAAATGAGAAAAGAACCTCGAAACTTGTCGGCCTCTGCCTACTTCTACCCGACTTCCCTAGACCTACAACACAGCAGTGACCTACAAACCTATCTGACCGTCCAAACAGCACACATCTATGGCCAAACAGTCAAGATCTGTCTACCTGCATCTGGATGGGAACCTAGACTAAGGGGACCCAAGACTAAGACACACACAAGGGAGACCTATGGGCCTACCAGTTTCCAAAAGTCCAGAAAGGGACAAAACAGCAAGGCTGAAGGGCCTAAGACTGCCAAATAGAGACTACTAGCGACAGGTTCACCGGTCAAGCCCAGTCGGACTCAAAGCTAGTAAATAACACATACAAACTGTAGGTCACGGGATCAAGTCCTGCACGGCTCAGACCAGGGGAACAGCAGACAAACTTGATGTAAAGACCGCGTAAGCAACTGCAATTCATTGCATGTGTGTGTGTGTGTGAGAGTGAGAGAGAGAGAGGGAGGGGAGTCCTGGGACTGGACTCTGCATGACACTTCATGGCACTGTATCCCATCTTATTGCATGCTGGGAAGAAGCGGAAAATGATCCTGCCAATGCATATCACCTTGCAGGCTTGCAGCAGGATTTATTTCTTTTGCTGTCCTTCCACAGTTGTGTGTGATGCTGTGTTGCTGATGTAATGTCGGAACCCTCATCGTTCTTCCAGCCAGAAAGGCAAGCATGCATTCACAAAACGGTGACATTGGGGTTTTCCACACCATTGCCAAATGCCAACATTTTGGATGTATCCGGACGGGAACCCGGTCCAGATACAATCAAAATGTCTTCGTTTGGCAAGTGGTGTGGCAAGACCTGTTACCTCTAACTAGATCTCAACATTCTCTAGGAAGGGATTTGTCTTCCACAGCAAGCTAAGCTTGTAAGGATGGTGGGTGCGTATTCCCGCATTCCTGCACGAGTGCGGCGAGATCCAATGATGAACCAATGATGGTCCAGCAAGTTGCAGACAAATCATTTTGAAAACTGAAGCTCAGTATTTGCAGACAAATCATTTCGAAGACTGAAGCTCAGTATTCAAACCCCCAAAAGCAGTTAAACCACCAGTTACACCTGAGTCTATTACTCGTTGGACCAAAAAAAAAAAAAAAAAAAAAAAAAAAAAAAAAAAAAAAACAGGCTTGCCCAGCCGGAAACTCAACTCCTAACGGGTCACACTGACTTCAATTGCAATACGCATGCAGTTTGCCGCAACTTTGGCGCAAATATTTTTTCATGGGATAAACCATTTTGTTTTTGTTTTTTCTTTCCCTGATGCCGGGAAACCTAACCAACATCCCTGTTTTTTCGTCACGGGAAACTAGAATGCAAAATCGCCAAAGTTGAGGTACCCGGAATTTAGCACCCCCCCCGGGCTGTCTCTTATACACATCTAGATGTGTATAAG